ATCTTCTGGTGTTTAGTCCTGGTTTAGTGTATTATCTTCTGGTGTTTTAGTCCTGGTTTAGTGTATTATCTTCTGGTGTTTAGTCCCTGGTTTAGTGTATTATCTTCTGGTGTTTAGAGTCCTGGTTTAGTGTATTATCTTCTGGTGTTTTAGAGTCCTGGTTTAGTGTATTATCTTCTGGTGTTTTTAGTCCTGGTTAGTGTATTAATCTTCTGGTGTTTTAGTCCTGGTTTAGTGTATTATCTTCTGGTGTTTTAGTCCTGGTTTAGTGTATTATCTTCTCTTCTGGTGGTTTTAGTCCTGGTTTAGTGTATTAATCTTCTGGTGTTTTAGATTCCTGGTTGTGTATGATCTTCTGGTGTTTTAGTCCTGGTTTAGTGTAATATCTTCTGGTGTTTTGAGTCGGTTTAGTGTATTATCTCTCGGTGTTTTAGTCCTGGTTTAGTGTATATCTTCTGGTGTTTTAGTCCTGGTTTAGTGTATTATCTTCTGGTGTTTAGTCCTGGTTATAGTGTATTATCTTCTGGTGTTTTAGTCCTGGTTTAGTGTATTATCTTCTGGTGTGTTAGTCCTGGTTTTAGTGTATTACTTCTGGGGTTTAGTCCTGGTTTAGTGTATTATCTTCTGGTGTTTTAGTCCTGGTTTAGTGTAATATCTTCTGGTGTTTTAGTCCTGGTTTAGTCTAATATCTTCTGGTGTTTAGTCCTGGTTTAGTGTATTATCTTCTGGTGTTTTAGTCCTGGTTTAGTGTATTATCTTCTGGTGTTTTAGTCCTGGTTTAGTGTATTATCTTCAGGTGTTTTAGTCCTGGTTTAGTGTATTATCTTCTGGTGTTTTAGTCCTGGTTTAGTGTATTATCTTCTGGTGTTTTAGTCCTGGTTTAGTGTATTATCTTCTGGTGTTTTGGTCCTGGTTTAGTGTATTATCTTCTGGTGTTTTAGTCCTGGTTTAGTGTATTATCTTCTGGTGTTTTAGTCTGGTTTAGTGTATTATCTTCTGGTGTTTTAGGTCCTGGTTTAGTGTATTATCTTCTGGTGTTTTAGTCCTGGTTTAGTGTATTATCTTCTGGTGTTTAGTCCTAGTTTAGTGTATTATCTTCTGGTGTTTAGTCCTAGTTTAGGGTATTATCTTCTGGTGTTTTAGTCCTGGTTTAGTGTATTATCTTCTGGTGTTTTAGTCCTGGTTTAGTGTATTATCTTCTGGTGTTTTGGTCCTGGTTTAGTGTATTATCTTCTGGTGTTTAGTCCTGGTTTAGTGTATTATCTTCTGGTGTTTTAGTCCTAGTTTAGTGTATTATCTTCTGGTGTTTTAGTCCTAGTTTAGGGTATTATCTTCTGGTGTTTTAGTCCTGGTTTAGTGTATTATCTTCTGGTGTTTTAGTCCTGGTTTAGTGTATTATCTTCTGGTGTTTTGGTCCTGGTTTAGTGTATTATCTTCTGGTGTTTTAGTCCTGGTTTAGTGTATTATCATCTGGTGTTTTAGTCCTGGTTTAGTGTATTATCTTCTGGTGTTTTAGTCCTGGTTTAGTGTATTATCTTCTGGTGTTTTAGTCCTGGTTTAGTGTATTATCTTCTGGTGTTTTGGTCCTGGTTTAGTGTATTATCTTCTGGTGTTTTAGTCCTGGTTAGTGTATTATCTTCTGGTGTTTTAGTCCTGGTTTAGTGTATTATCTTCTGGTGTTTTGGTCCTGGTTTAGTGTATTATCTTCAGGTGTTTAGTCCTGGTTTAGTGTATTATCTTCTGGTGTTTTAGTCCTGGTTTAGTGTATTATCTTCTGGTGTTTTAGTCCTGGTTTAGTGTATTATCTTCTGGTGTTTTAGTCCTGGTTTAGTGTATTATCTTCTGGTGTTTTAGTCCTGGTTTAGTGTATTATCTTCTGGTGTTTTAGTCCTGGTTAGTGTATTATCTTCTGGTGTTTAGTCCTGGTTTAGTGTATTATCTTCTGGTGTTTTAGTCCTGGTTTAGTGTATTATCTTCTGGTGTTTTGGTCCTGATTTAGTGTATTATCTTCTGGTGTTTTAGTCCTGGTTTAGTGTATTATCTTCTGGTGTTTAGTCCTGTTTAGTGTATTATCTTCTGGTGTTTTAGTCCTGGTTTAGTGTATTATCTTCTGGTGTTTTAGTCCTGGTTTAGTGTATTATCTTCTGGTGTTTTAGTCCTGGTTTAGTATATTATCTTCTGGTGTTTTGGTCCTGGTTTAGTGTATTATCTTCTGGTGTTTTAGTCCTGGTTAGTGTATTATCTTCTGGTGTTTTAGTCCTGGTTTAGTGTATTATCTTCTGGTGTTTTAGTCCTGGTTTAGTGTATTATCTTCTGGTGTTTTAGTCCTAGTTTAGTGTATTATCTTCTGGTGTTTTAGTCCTAGTTTAGTGTATTATCTTCTGGTGTTTAGTCCTGGTTTAGTGTATTATCTTCTGGTGTTTTTGTCCTGGTTTAGTGTATTATCTTCTGGTGTTTTGGTCCTGGTTTAGTGTATTATCTTCTGGTGTTTTAGGTCCTGGTTTAGTGGTATTATCTTCTGGTGTTTTAGTCCTGGTATAGTGTATTATCTTCTGTGTTTTAGTCCTGGTTAGTGTATTATCTTCTGGTGTTTTAGTCCTGGTTTAGTGTATTATCTTCTGGTGTTTTAGTCCTAGTTTAGTGTATTATCTTCTGGTGTTTTAGTCCTAGTTTAGTGTATTATCTTCAGGTGTTTTAGTCCTGGTTTAGTGTAATATCTTATGGTGTTTAGTCCTGGTTTAGTCTAATATCTTCTGGTGTTTTAGTCCTGGTTTAGTGTATTATCTTCTGGTGTTTTAGTCCTGGTTTAGTGTAATATCTTCTGGTGTTTTAGTCCTGGTTTAGTGTAATATCTTATGGTGTTTAGTCCTGGTTTAGTCTAATATCTTCTGGTGTTTTAGTCCTGGTTTAGTGTATTATCTTCTGGTGTTTTAGTCCTGGTTTAGTGTATTATCTTCAGGTGTTTAGTCCTGGTTTAGTGTATTATCTTCAGGTGTTTTAGTCCTGGTTTAGTGTAATATCTTATGGTGTTTAGTCCTGGTTTAGTCTAATATCTTCTGGTGTTTTAGTCCTGGTTTAGTGTATTATCTTCAGGTGTTTTAGTCCTGGATTAGTGTATTATCTTCAGGTGTTTTAGTCCTGGTTTAGTGTATTATCTTCTGGTGTTTAGTCCTGGTTTAGTGTATTATCTTCTGGTGTTTTAGTCCTGGTTTAGTGTATTATCTTCTGGTGTTTTAGTCCTGGTTTAGTGTAATATCTTCTGGTGTTTTAGTCCTGGTTTAGTGTATTATCTTCAGGTGTTTAGTCCTGGTTTAGTGTATTATCTTCAGGTGTTTTAGTCCTGGTTTAGTGTATTATCTTCAGGTGTTTTAGTCCTGGTTTAGTGTATTATCTTCTGGTGTTTTAGTCCTGGTTTAGTGTAATATCTTCTGGTGTTTTAGTCCTGGTTTAGTGTATTATCTTCTGGTGTTTTAGTCCTGGTTTAGTGTATTATCTTCTGGTGTTTTAGTCCTGGTTTAGTGTATTATCTTCTGGTGTTTTAGTCCTGGTTTAGTGTATTATCTTCTGGTGTTTTAGTCCTGGTTTTAGTGTATTATCTTCTGGTGTTTTAGTCCTGGTTTAGTGTATTATCTTCTGGTGTTTAGGTCCTGGTTTAGTGTATTATCTTCTGGTGTTTTAGTCCTGGTTTAGTGTATTATCTTCTGGTGTTTTAGTCCTGGTTTAGTGTAATATTATTTTGTATTTTAGTCCTGGTTTAGTGTGATATTATTTTGTATTTTAGTCCTGGTTTAGTGTGATATTATTTTGTATTTTAGTCCTGGTTTAGTGTAATATTATTTTGTATTTTAGTCCTGGTTTAGTGTGATATTATTTTGTATTTTAGTCCTGGTTTAGTGTATTATCTTCAGGTGTTTAGTCCTGGTTTAGTGTATTATCTTCTGGTGTTTTAGTCCTGGTTTAGTGTAATATTATTTTGTATTTTAGTCCTGGTTTAGTGTGATATCCTCAGGTGTTTTAGTCCTGGTTTAGTCTAATATCCTCAGGTGTTTTAGTCCTGGTTTAGTCCAGTATTCAGGTGTTTTAGTCTTGGTTGAGTCAAGTACTCTCAGGTGTTTTAGACCTGATGATCAAAGCATGTAGTTGTTGTGAGCGACCTGAGGGGTATCAGCACGGTTCAGTCCGTCACTTGCAACACGCGGCTGACCTGCAGTTTGTTTGAGAGGAACCAGACTTTAACCTGCTGAGTTTGAACAGTTATCTCTGTGTGGTCAATCTACAAATCAATAAGTCTGTCAAATGTTAAAAACAACAATCTCAAATGGCTCTGGTTCTTCATGTCATTTAGTTTGTATGTTTGATTTAGTCACCATTATTACTGCCTTATTGTTGTTGGGCCTGGTCGACTAAACGTGGACTTGCATGTGGATTAAAATGTAGAAGTGCAAACCTTTACAGTTTATATAATATAAATGCATGTATCTTAATCAGATTAGACAAGTCCCCACAGAGTACCCACAATGCTTTGCAGCAGCAGATTTTGATACATGAATGAATCCTAAATGGTTTCTGGGGGATACAGTCAATTGACAGGTTGTGTCCATGTGTAAAATGGGTGTTAAATGGGTTTGATATGGTTGTATTAGGGGTGTAATAACAGTGTAAAATGGGTGGAATGCAAGTTTAATAGGTGTGTATTAATGTGTAATGTGGGTGTGATAGAAGTGTAACATAGGTATAATAATGGTGTAATACCGGCGTAATAAGGGATTAATATGTTTGTATTAATTATGTAATGAGGGTATAACATGGGTCTTATAACAGTATAACATAGGTATAATAGTAGTGTTACATGGGTGTAATAGAGTAAGGCTGTTATAGGGTGTAATGTAGAAAATAGAATGAATGAATTTTCCACTACATTTGTATGTGATTGGCCGTTAAAGGGTTAAAGAGGAGAGACATTATGTTCTGATATTCCTGAGCAACATGATCCCCTGCAGCCAGACGCTCTGCAGGGAAACCAGATAACGAGACGTCGATGAACTCCAGAGGCTCCGTGCTGTCTCAGATCAACCCAGAACCTCCTAGATTCAACTCTCAACTCTAAGACAACTACACGTCCCAGAGAGCATTGCTGTAAGTGTCAGCCAATCAGAGAGATTCCCTCAGTCAGATGTGAAGCTCAACACAGTTTCATTCTTCACTATATTTGTATATTACATGGCTTAGTTGAATAGTTGATTCTGATTGGTCAATTTGGACATTTCAGAGGTTGTTAATACTCGCTAACTGACCGTTGCTAGGGAAAATAATGACTGTTACTAAGGAGGATTAAAGGAGACAAAAAAGAGGTTAAAAGACAGAGCGTTTGGACGTCAGAGAAATCAACAGAAGAAGACAGACAGGAAGTAAACACGTTACGTTGTTGTTGACATGGTCGATTTCGGCCGTCGATAGATGTCTGGCCGTCGATGAGCGTCCTGTCGCCCTACTCAGATGGGTGTGTCCGCACCGTCGTGTCTTTTCGGCCGTGCCGACACCTTCTGCGGGAGGCTGTCGGCAAAAGGCTGTCGGCAAAAGAAATCACTCTGATTGGCTGTTCAGCTTAGCGAATCAGTGCATGAGAAGCGAAACGGAAGTGAAGAAGGCACACACAGACGGCTATTATTTTTCATTTTCCAGTACCGCACTAAACATGTTTTAGATTATAAGTCGTTATGTGAAACCGTCTGTGATGGACGAGAGTGAAAATGGAACGCACGCTATTTGTTGTTTGTACATATCACGCAGTCTGTCTTCCGGTTGCCTCTTTTGAATGACGAATACACACTACCGCCGCCTGCTGGTAAGGAGAGTTATTGCCACTCACGCATGCGCAGTGCGTACGTGCTTCCTGGCCGTCGGCTGAAGTCTTTGCGGTGTGTTCCAGTGCGACTGTTTGACCAAGACGCAGGAGACGTGAGGCGACGCCACAGTCGGGTCCGTCGGGACGTGTTCGTTGGTGTCAGCTCGGTGTGTCAGGGCCTTTAGACGGTGTAGTTTATTTGTATTCTTCGCTCATCCGAGGTACCTGTTTGACAATATATTGTGTATAATAATTATTTTATGATATTTTCCTTTTTCTTCAACATCATAGCAACTTTGAAATGCATACAGTGTCACAAACAGAATTCAGGAGCATACATGTTGTTGTTTACACTCCCCTCCCCCCTATAGAACAAGACAACAGTAATTTTGTAATTGTTACGTTTATTCTGGTTTGTTTTGTGTTTCGTGTTTTGTGAGCTGAGCTGTGTGATTTGATATTTGATGTATCTCTCTGTACAGCACTTTGGTCTGGAGGTTTTAAAGTGCTTTATAAATAAAGTTGGATTGGTAATAGTCAGAAAAAAGACAATTGAAATATCACATCATCTTTTTAAAAAGACAAATCAATGATAATAATAATAATGATAGAAATATATAAGTAATAAAGGGTCAGATATTATCATTATTGACAAAATACTTTATAAGATATTTTCAAACTTACATCAGCTAATTAAAGGTAGGGTAGGTAAGTTTGAGAAACCGGCTCGAGATACACTTTTTGTTATATTCCATGGAATGCTCTTAACATCCCGATAGCAATGAATATCTGAAGTGCTTTGACAACAAATCCATAAATAAATATCATCTGTGGAAGCTGTGGTTCTGTAAAAAGCACGACCAATCATTTTAGCCGGCCCTGCTAAAATAACTGGATGGCCTACCTGCCTGTCAGCCTTCCATCTGTGCACAAACTTATCTCGTGCCCTCATTGGTCATGTGCACGTTCGTGTGTGTTGGAGGAGGGGCTCTGTGAGGAAGTGGCAGATTTTCTCCGGCTGTGTATTTTCAAATTCTAGCGCACTCGAGCTGGTTTCTCAAACTTACCTACCCTACCTTTAATCATAGATAGATAAATACTTTATTGATCCCAACATTTTTTTTTTAAATACTTTGAAAAAAAGAAGAGAATTAACAATAAAACATAAAATGACAAATGAAAAAAACGATATAAAATAATCTGGACATTTAAAATAAAAAGTCAAAAATACTACAGGATCCAAAATAAAATCATAGGCTTAATATAAATGAGTTATGGTTCACTAACAAATCTGTATTCTGATTCAGTTCAAATAACACCGTTTCAACGTCTCCATGTTCGTTAAAAAAGGTTTCCATGTCTTATAAAGCGTCCCAGTGGAGCGACCATGAGTACTCTTTCTGTTCTCCATGTGGAGAAACCTCATAAGTCCTGTCTCCCGCTGGACACACAGGAAGTGGGAGATGCATGATAAAAGTTCTGGTTGTAAATACGTTAATGTGCAGTGCTGACTGAGCCTCTCAGTTCAATGTGCTTTATTGGCAGGAATGTCAGGTGAACAATACTGCAACGCGTCAAGGGTTATACAATTCAATAGTGATATAAGAACAATTCATACAATTAAACTAAAGTAGAAAATGGTAGAAAACAATAAGTAACGTGTGTGTGTGTGTGTGTGTGTGTGTGTGTGTGTGTGTGTGTGTGTGTGTGTGTGTGTGTGTGTGTGTGTGTGTGTGTGTGTGTCGGAGTGTGTGTGTGTGTGTGTGTGTGTGTGTGTGTGTGTGTGTGTGTGTGTGAGTGAGTGTCAGTGTGTGTCTGTGTGTGAGTGTCAGTGTGTGTGTGTGTGTGTCAGTGTGTGTGTTGTCAGTGTGTGTGTGTGTGTGTGTGTGTGTGTGAGTGTCAGTGTGTGTCTGTGTGTGAGTGTCAGTGTGTGTGTGTGTGTGTCTGTGTGTGAGTGTCAGTGTGTGTGTGTGTGTGTGTGTGTGTGTGTGTGTGTGTGTCTGTGTGTGAGTGTGTGTCGGAGTGTGTGTGTGTGTGTGTGTGTGTCGGAGTGTGTGTGTGTGTGTGTGTGTGTGTGTCGGAGTGTGTGTGTGTGTGTGTGTGTGTGTGTGTCGGAGTGTGTGTGTGTGTGATAGGTCTACTGAATATAGAATTGATTAATGTTTGTCTAAGGTCTATAAAGAAACAATTTACGACAATCTATTATTACAAAACCTCAAGTATGAAATGTAAAAAGAAAGAAAGAATCAGAACAAATCTCAGCAGCTGAAACATGGTGAAGAAAGTGAGATCCATGTTTTGAGATATTGTGAAATCTGAGCGTTGGTGCTGGTGTCCGGTTGCTCCTGAAAGAGGTCATTGTGAGGAGTGAACTGTATGAAATGAGATCTCTGTCTCCCAGAATATCTGAGGCTCGGATCAGATCTCACAGGAACAGTGAGCAGACTGATCAGAATGAAATCCCTGCTGTTCATCAGGAGAGGTCTGAGACTGGTTTCCATTCTGTCCATAAGTGTCTCTACTTTAAAGAGTCCTCTCCTGCTGAGGTTCAGGTGTATATCAGTATGTAGTGTCTCTACTTTAAAGAGTCCTCTCCTGCTGATGTTCAGGTTTATATCAGTATGTAGTGTCTCTACTTTAAAGAGTCCTCTCCTGCTGATGTTCAGGTGTATATCAGTATGTAGTGTCTCTACTTTAAAGAGTCCTCTCCTGCTGATGTTCAGGTTTATATCAGTATGTAGTGTCTCTACTTTAAAGAGTCCTCTCCTGCTGATGTTCAGGTGTATATCAGTATGTAGTGTCTCTACTTTAAAGAGTCCTCTCCTGCTGATGTTCAGGTGTATATCAGTATGTAGTGTCTCTACTTTAAAGAGTCCTCTCCTGCTGATGTTCAGGTGTATATCAGTATGTAGTGTCTCTACTTTAAAGAGTCCTCTCCTGCTGATGTTCAGGTGTATATCAGTATGTAGTGTCTCTACTTTAAAGAGTCCTCTCCTGCTGATGTTCAGGTTTATATCAGTATGTAGTGTCTCTACTTTAAAGAGTCCTCTCCTGCTGATGTTCAGGTGTATATCAGTATGTCGTGTCTCTAC